GTTAAAGCATTCTTTAGCAGTAACAATAATAACAGAAGATGGAATGATTTAATTAATAGCAAGGGCAAATAAAGGATACAAATAAACGTCAGAAACTCATACAGGATGAAGTTTCCTTTTTATGCTCATAAATGAGTAAAAGAATTGCGGAGACATAAATGTCAGACAACCTGCACAATCCGAAAGAGAGCTGGCATAGGCTGCAAATCATAGTACGGAGGCACACAAGTAAGAAGTTCGATCACAGTACAGCCAACACTCCAAATGTCAGAAGCAGCACAAACCCCTGACATTTCAATCACCTGAAATATAATTTAACCTTCAAATAAGGCATCCAATATAAACCTCAAGTACCACACATGAAAACTTAGAGAAACAAGTTTGACAATTAACAGCCACATTCCAATCATTGGTTGGAACCAAAGAAGCACCTCTGGGGCCATCCAATATGGTGTTCCAACAACTGAGTGCGTGTTAACATCAGCCTCAGTTAGTTTGGTTGCAACACCAAAATCAGCAAGTTTCACAAGACCCTGAAAAGAGAAATTAAGGATAAGTCACAAATAAACCAAGAGAATAAATACGCCAAAAGACACAGACATCAGAACTAACAAGGACACAAAATTATGAAGAGAAAACAGCCAGGAGACTGTAATGACTCAGCACAAACAAGTAAGGATACCCAGGAATGAGGCAATAAAATATGGTCCAAAGTTCAGCAGGCCACAGGTGTTCCGCTCTAGGAAACTTAGGCACTTTAACTTTATGTATCACCACATAAGCAGCCAAAGTACAAGGAAACATACGAATTAAGTGGACCAAATTCAATTAGTCTCAATGGACCCATAAAAAAGGATGTTATAAGGTTTTGTTCTCTTCCAGATCTCTGCCACCATGATCAATTTATAGCAAGAGAATCACCAAAATAACTCCCCCTGAAATAGTAATAAAACCCTCTAAGGATAAGAGAAAATAGAAATATCTGTTAAGTTACCTCTTTTGTTGTCAAAATATTTGCACCCTTAATATCCCGATGGATAACACCTTGTTCATGTAGATAAACCAAGCCTTCCAAAACCTGTTTAACAAGTAATTAGCATAACCACAAGATATTTTAATAGCGAAATAAAGCAATAAATTGCAGATATACAAGCAAACCTGAGCAATATAAACAGCTACCAACGATTCTGGAAAAGGCCCAAATTTATTTGGCTTGATAATGTTTGCAAGTGAACCATTCTCCACATACCTATACAAACATACAGCAATATTTAAAAGTTTCTAACAACCCAGATTGCAGGAAACTGCATTCACAATATGAGAATTCTTACTCAAGAATTATATGCAGGTGACTCTTTGTCTTCAATGATCCAAGATATTTCACAATATTTTTATGGTTCAAATTCTGCAACGACGTTCAAATTTTAATTAGCATCAACAAAATACTGATGGCACAACTTGTTACCATCAATAATCCAATTAGCAGCAGACAACAACTACCATGAAGATGACCAGTAAACAACAAATAATTGAAAGGGGAACGTTTTCAGTGCACATATGGAGAACCCATGTGAATCAGATATGCAAGGGAGAATTTTAATGTTGCATTATAACAAGTGAAAGTTCAAAAGCACAAAAAAAAAATGGAAAAAGCAGTTAAAGTAGGGAGTTACCTTCAACAAATCAATCTCTTGCTGCAAGATCAACCCATTCCATCAAACAAAAGTATCCAAAAGAAAAAGACAACTGGTCAGCCAAAGAAATACAACAGAAACTGGAAATTTAGAAATGCATCCTCTAAAAATAGCATATATAAATATTTATTTCAATTTTACATGTTTATCACCTAACGTTTTAACATGTTGGACCCCAATTAAGGGCTAGAATGATGAGTGCCCTCGGAAGAAAAGCAGCAGATTTTATAGGAACAAGGCAATTTTATCGACACCCAGAAAAAATTTACTTATTTCCGAAAGCAATCAATCAAGTGTTTAGAAAATGTTCAAAGACCAAAATCCAGTCTCCCTAATGTTTTTACATTAGAATTGTCTGTAACAAATGCAACTGACATTACATTAGCAGGTCCTTGAAAGTGGTCAAGACAATTAAAACTTAAATATTGCAGGTCTTAAGTAGCTTTGATACTAAGCATGTTGCTTATCAATATAAAGTCAACTATTACATACCCAGAAATTAAATTACTGATTCTTTATCGTGAGAAAAGAAGATAAATTGCTTCCATCAAATAAAAAGTCAACGAAAATTATCAATAAAAACTAAGACACGTATCAACCAACAAAAAAGCACCATAGTCAGAAAAATCTTCTATCCATCATAAAGCCTCGAAAACATAGTATATCAAAAGTTGAGAAAATGATTGAATCCAAGAGTAGTTTAAGTATATTGAACATAACCATTAATGTAATGGCCAACATGGCTAAACCCTACCTAGCAGGCCATCCTTGTGAAACCGTGTATCAACTTAAGCATGTCCTAATTGAAGCAAAATGAAATATAAAATCAAACCATTATAATATTGAGATCCTCCTGTGCTATATTCTCCAAAGATACTTGTTTAATTGCAACGAAGTCTCCATTCTCCGAATCTAAACCTTTGTAAACACGTCCATATGCACCTTTTCCGATTTCATCTCCAAGCATCTATATGGAAAGAAAAGACAATATAAATTTCAAGACATAATTTTCATTTTTCTCAGGTGTGTGCTCTAAATCTATAATAAATAATTAACCAAAAAAAAAAGGAAGAAAAATGTTTGGGGAAGTAACATAACCTGCAAATTTCAGAGAGAGTTTAAATTTAAAAAAAAAAAAGGAAAAAATGGAAGTGTGTAATTCTTTCCTTTATCCTTTTTTTTCCTCCAATTTGTCATCAACTAACTGAAATGTAATTTGCATCTACTAATCGAAGCAGATAAAATTAAATTGGAAAATGAAAACGTTTTTTTTTAATAAAATGAAAATTAAGAGCAACATTTGAGGAGCAAAATCTTCACATTTCATTTTTCATTTACAATTTTTTCTCCTTTCATTCCCTCAATTATATAACCGACCAAACTGTTGTTAACAGAAAGAGAGAGACGAAAATGAACAACAGAAAAAAAAAAAAAAAGAAAAATTCGTCGAGAAATAGATCGAATTACTGAAATTAACTCACGTATTTGTTGTCGAGAGTTTTGGATTTGTGGAAAGCGGAAGAAGGTGTTTGGCAAGACATTGCTTAGTGTTTGTATTCTGCTTCTTCTTCTTCTTCTTCTTCTTCTTCTTCTTTTCTTTTCTTCTTCTTCTTCTTCCTCTCCTATGATTACTGGGAATGGGAAAGACAAAGAATCACTCGCTCTTAAAAGAAACCCTAGAAGAAATGCTCCATCTTTTGACGACAAAAAGTTTAGGATTTAGAAACGCAGGAATCCAGCGACGAGGCCAGAGCTCCTGCGAGGCAAAGAAAAGAAGAATGGAAAAGAAAAAGAAAAGAAAGAGAGAGAAAAAGAAGGGAGCGAAGGCAAGAGAAGGGAGGACCAATAGGGGGACTGGTGAGGTGGTGTCGTATTGGAGGAATAATAAGTTGGTATCATTATGTATTAATTGAATGATCAGTAAATTTTGTTTGTTATGGTAAGGAAATATGGGGAATGGGATTGGAGAGGCTTATCGAGGTGAGGTGAGCGTGCGCCAGCTCAGACTTGGCTGTATGCTTTTTCGGGATGCCTGCCCACTGTCATTTTCCTCATACAAAGTCTAATCGGAATGTTTCCTTCATCTGGGGGTGAAAATTGCCTTTCAAAGCAATTATCTATATCCTTCTACGTTATCTAAAATGTTATTCCTGAAGGGGCATGCCCCCCATGGCGCCCAATATCCTCTTTGGAGACCACCCCACCCCCACTTTTTTTTTTTTTACTTTTTTAATAATAAATAATTATCTATCTATATTTTTTTTATTTGGTTTTTTTTTTGGTTTTTATGGAGGATTATTATTAAATATATTCAGTTTATTTTAGACATTTTTATTTGGGTTTTTTGTATATTTGTATCTGTTAAGTTTGTTAGTCTTTAGTTGTTATAGGTCCATTGGGCCTTCATTTTCACAAGAATAATTTTTATGTCAATTTTTTTAGTAAATTAGGGTTGGGTCGTTGGTTTTTTTTTAATATTAAAATTTGCATTTATTTTGGAGTTCTTATATTTAGTATTTTATTAAAGTTCGATTTGATTGTTGAATTAACAAAATTTATTGTATTGATAGACTCCTTAGTCTTGATTTTTATGGTAAATTGGTGTACAATAGTATTGGAATTTTATATATATATTTGAAATTTATATTTGTTTTGGAGTTCTTGTATTTGATATTTTTACAACTTTAATAATATTTATTGAATAAAAAAATTAATGTATTGATAAAAAGTTGGTGAAAATTAGATTATTAAACTGCAATGCGGGTTGATGTATGTGGAACAATTTTCAATTTTAGGTGTTAAATCAAAAGAAAAGAAATATTATCCTGATTAAATAATGTTATGAGTTAATATAGCGTAGTTGTTAGGTTTATGATTTATTATTTTGTAATTATTCTGGTTATGAACGATAGAGATATCAAACATAGTCTAAATGAATTAAGTTTATAATTGTTTTCAGATATGATTTACAAACATTTCGTGTACATACTGCAAACAAGAAACGCATTCATGTATCAAACATAGATGATAGATAATCTAATGTATCCTGATCCATAATTCTATACCTGTAATTTTATTGGTGTAAAAAAATTGACCCACCCATGCACAATGAAGGTCGAACACTAGTAATAATAATAATAATTACAGCCACCATTGTTGCTAATACTAGTAGTAATTCTTTTATAATGCATGTAAAAAAAGTAGAAGAAATTCGAAAATTATGATTTTAAGACAAGGGGGTGAGTCTCTGACCCTCTCATTTCTGATTGAACAACCTTGTTAGTTCAAATCATATAACTTACTGTATGGCGAATTCTTGCTCCTTCACATTGAAATAACATAAAAGGAAGAGCCCAGTTTTAACAAGTATAATAATTAAAATTTTATAACATTTCCATGCTAGCAAGAATCATATACATGGGGCTACAAGCCTGTGAGCCTAGGTAAAATTATTCTGTAGGATCTCCGACATCCCCCCCATCTCCATTGACCACCTCAGTTAAATGACACCACACATTGGCCTCGCAGGCATTATGCCAAAGGCCCTTCTCTCACCCGCTCAAACTGGATGAAAAAGAGGGATTTCCTCTAATGGATGCACTGCCACAGTGCCCCGGTATAAAGAATTAAATCATTAACTCTGCAAAATTTGTTTCAGAAACCAAAAGGTGACTTCCTTCTGCTTCCACCTTCTCCATACTGTTCATTCCATTTTCTCAGCTCATTCATACTCGTAGCATCATAAGCGACAGATGGACCCACCTGTTACAAGAGAATCATGCATCAACTTTATATATCAGACTGGATGTAATAAACAATTTGTTACAAAAGATTGTCACGTTAACAGAATAACTGTAACTATCCAGTAAGAAAAGAGTTGGGTCTCATCAGACAGCTTATGCGTGGGCAAGTTAACCACTGGAGAAAATAAACAAGGGATCAACAACAGTAAGGATTCTTGAGCCACAAAAAAAAAACCCAGAAACAACCTGAATGCACCCCATCAGACAGGTCACAACGGTTAAGAACATTGCTTTACTTGGGAAAGCTGACAATTTGGAATGAAACTCAAAGAGTGAATAGGAGGATCATTAATCTCTACTCTGTACTGAAGAACTTTCATATATTGTGTTCAACTGGGGAAATTGTACATGGCTTTAGGCCATACAACTTACAAGTACAGTTTCGCATTTCATATTAAAGAAGGGAACAGAATCAAAATAAATGTATTAATACACTACCTTAGTTTTTGACTGAATGAAGTCATCCACATTAAGGGCCCTTAATAGGGCAGCTGCATCATTTTTGCCACCCTGGAAATTAAGTGACAAAATATCATCATAAGGGTCAAATAGTAAAATTTTATTTTCTACATAGCAAACAAACCCTTTGTATTTTCACATTCACGGCACTTATGTAACTAAAGGGACTTACAAGGATCTGTCATAAAACATAGTGCAGAAGAATAGTGTTGAGTTTCTAGGGGAATGCTATAAAAGATGGTTAAAGAAAATGCAGGAGGTGCACAAGCATAAGAAAGATAAGAGACATTATCCAAATCAAAAGAAAAGCATAAGCATAGAATCAGACTATTGCCCTACAAAGCACCATCAATACATCATTTAAGTGCACAAACAGGTACCTTCTTTTCTTCTGCTAGAAGTTCTTGCACTGGCCTGTATGCTGCAGCTATACATAGGTTCTGCAATTCAAATTATTAAGAAATATGAGGAGGATATTCAACACTTCAAACGACTAAAAACAGTGTTCGAAGGCTGAGTAGGCTATTCAACATTTCAACTGACTAAAAACAGTGCTCTACCTTCAGATCACTACCAGAATACCCCTCAGTAGCATTTGCAAGCTCGTCGAATGAGAAGTTGGGTCCTAAATTCTCTTGTGCAAGAAATATTTTCAGTATCTTCATACGGTTTCCAGCATCTGGTAGGTCAACATATATCCTAAATTGCCACCCAACATGACTCCATAAGCAATACTGGATACTACCATTACCTTTAGCAAATAAGTAAGAGGAACTTGCTCGCAGAACCTCATGAATATCAGATATACCTTCTTGGCAAGCGGCGAATAACAGCATCATCAAGATCAAATGGCCTATTTGTGGCACCAAGGACGAGAATTCTCTGGCTATCTTTTGACCTTAATCCATCCCAAGCTGCCATGAACTCATTTCTCATTCTCCTAGTTGCTTCATGCTCAAAAGAACCACCACGAGCACCCAGCAAACTATCAACCTGTTATGCAAAATTCATTCCCAAAAATTTATCCAAACATCATGGAAAATGGTTCAAAAATCTTAGAAAAATTAAATTTAACTTGAAAGCCCTAACATGGTATTCATGTGTATGCATCCAAAAAAAACCTCTTAAAAGCCCTAAAATGGTATTCGTGTGTATGCATCCAAAAAACAAAAAGGCACGTTGTTCATGTTATAACTTGTGAAGTATTACATGTTGCAAGAAATAATCGACAATATGGTATTTCACTAGGATTTTCATGAGGCTCATTCAGTGTGCCCCGTTCAATCAATACCTTCCCGTGAGGTTTATTCTCCTTAGAAAATTTCTACAATTTTTTGCAAGAATTTCTATGCCTCATATATCTTATAGGATGGAGTGTATCATTGTCTCTTTCTTCATTTTCTTTCTGCCATTTATCTTATAGGATAGAAGACCTTGCAGGAATTGCGCCATTTGTTAAAAGAAAGAATACTGGTTCTCTCTTTAGAAACAAAAAAGTTCATATTAGGAATGAAAATCTTCACTTCAGATTCAGTTCATCCAACCATTGAGTCTGTCTGGAAACAGTTGTAATAATAAAGTTTGGGACACCTTAGTGCTAAACAAATTTTTGCAAGAGGAACTCACCTCGTCAACAAATATAATGACTGGTGCCAGCTTGCTAGCAAAGGAGAAGAGGGCCTTGGTAAGCTTTTCAGCATCTCCAAACCACTGTGAAGAAGGAAAATGTAATATCAGAATTTTAATTATTTTCAATGCAAACAGAAACAAATAACCTTCACAATAAATTAGAAGAGACTTTTCTTCTTCCTCTATCTTTGTAATCTTCATTTTTGTTCTTCCTTTTGTTGGCCTTGATGTATAAAGTTAGCAAATAGATGGTTTGTCCAATTGACATCCCACTATAGGTAGTATCATTACTCTAAACAGAACAAGCAGATCCTCATTTATCCCTAAACTTTCAATCTTAATATTAAACTATAATTAAGTAATTCAACATAAAAAATTATAAAAAAGAAAATGAAGATACGGAATAAGAGTTTAAAGAAGAGACATTGAGACAAAACAAAGTGAGAACACCTGACATCCTACAAATAAAAATTGCACCGCCTAGCATAAAAACCCAGAAAATGTTCATCTAGTTCAAACCCAAAAGTTGGGTAAATATTCTAATAATTTGCTTCTCAATAAAAAAAAATTCTAATCATTGGCTATTCAAACTTAGGCAAGATTCGCCTCAATCACAGAATTATTATTGACTTGGAAATATAAAATTGATGAAACAGGTAAACAATAATGCTGCAAAACACAGTGCCAAACAACAAATGCGGGGTCTACAAAATGAAACAGGTAATGAATATAACTGAGATGATAACATTAATTTTTCTGCATACCTTCGATGTAAGAGTTGAACCAGTTATGCTGATAAAGTTTGCTCCTGCTTCTGTTGCCAGTGCCTTAGCAAGAAGGGTTTTCCCAGTTCCAGGAGGACCAAAAAGTAATATCCCTTTGCAAGGCTGAAAAAAGCTTCAAAAAATCACATACAGAGAACTTATCTAATCTCCATTAAAATCAACAGAACAAAAAACAGGTCAAATACCCTCAATAAATTTCCATGAGAAAAAAGTTCTGGCCTCCTCATTGGAAGAATGACAAGTTCATTCAATGCCTTCTTCACATCTTCAAGAGCACCTATATCATCAAATTTGACACCAACTTCACCAGGTGGTACCACTGCTGAAACAAAGTTGCTTTCATAGTCATCCTTTGCAAGGTTCTACAAAATTTACATGAAGTAAACTCAGCATTGATGTCACATTCAAGTTTCACTATCTCTTTATGAACAATGGGAATGAAATTCATGCCTTCAAGTTTTGTGCAGGCTTTCGAGATATTGTTTCTTGCTCCTTCAACCTCAAAACTGCAATTTCGAGGCTTCACATGAAAGGAAGAGCAGTAAAAATAATGCAGTGGAAGCCTTTTACATATACAGGGCATACATTCACATTGTCACTATCATGCATGCACATATTTATCTGTTTATAGAGACATACCTTTCACGAGGCAGACATAATCTTTCCCCTCTTATGGAAGGGAGTGTGCAAGATGATAAGTAATGATTTTTAGCCCAACCAACAACCTTCTCAGCTTCTGCCAACAAAGTTTGGGGGGGAAATCAGTACCAAACTGATTTATAATACAAGGAAAAAGAATCAATCTCATTTGCTACAGACAACAAAGTGGTATGACAGTAATCCAGCAGAAGTCAAGCCCAAAATTGAACTAGCATATAGAATAGTGAAATTTTCGGCTTCTTAATTTTACATGGAAATAGCAATTACAGTTGATGGCATTTATTATTGCAACCACAAGGGCAAAATTGGGAATGCCAACAATAAGCATCAGATATCAACAGTTAAAATAAATCAACTCAGTTTTAGAGGTCAAATTGACTCGTACTGCACCAAGACTCGACCAAATAACTTGGGCGTACAAGAATATGGACAGTCAGCATTCTTTATTATTTTTAGGTCAGGGAAAGAAAAGGAGAAAATTATAAATTAAATTTACAACAATTTGATTAAAGTAAAAGATGCTGAAAGAAAATTCATTTAAATCCTTACTCCGCTTTGTCAGTATCACACCATCAGTATTTGCATGCAATAGGTCCAAACATGACAGCTCATTTTCTTCAAGAACCTGCAAGACAATTGCTTCAGCATTAAGATTCCCACAAAAAACAAAATGTTTCAATGATATTAAAAGTACCTCTCACATTCATTTGCACTCCACAACTGAAATCAAGTTCAATTCTTTTAAACGTAAAATTGACTAGAAAAGCTGCCAATAATCCAATTGAAACTGACTGCATACCTTATGCAATTCATTTACATTGCTTCTTGATATCACAATTCGCCGGTCCTCGTCAAGTTGTTTATTAAATATTCTAAGAAGATCTTCCTCCTGGGAGAAGTAGAAACAGATTTAAAGAGAGAGACAGAGACAAAGACGTCTTGATAACTAAGCATATTCTTAAGTTTCTTCCCTTTTGCAAAAGAAATTACCTTAGGAGGATGTATACACAAAACATTAGCGAAAAGCCTATATAGTTCATCATCATCCGACCTCTTGGTCACTTTAAGTCCCTCAGTAAGGCGCTTCAAAGGGAGAGGCTGCAAAATACAAGCAACTAATGTTAAAAGATTGCTGAGAGAGAGAGCTTGAATTCCAAGGTAATAAAGAGCCCACAACCACAAGGATAACCACGACAACACTTTACAAACCATAAACATGAAAAGGCAAATACAAGAACCTCCTCTTTCAGATTTAAATAACACAAACAACAAGCAGTCGATTCTTCAATAAAGCCCTGCCCTAAGCAAAAGAAACAGCTTGCATGAGGAAAAAATCATTCCTCAAGCCATAACCATGCCTACAGAGAACACATCTGAAGTGAAGACCTAGAGATTGTCAGATCCCCGCCTAACATTCTCCAGCAGCAAGGCATTGAGCATTTAAATAGCCAAGACATAGTTTTCTTGCAAGGACTCAAAGATTAGAAAAGGGTAAAAATAAAAATGCTATGTGATGAGCACTTGAATCACCTAGATATAAGTTTTGTTGCAAGGAATTGAAGTTTAGTAAGTTGTGAATTGATTGAGTTTGATTAAATAAAGAAAGAACAACCCTAACCAAGAATCAACAGAATGGCAACATACCAGAAGTGCAAAAATATTTCCCTCAAAACCTGTTAATATTATATAGCAGACGTATTGCAGAAGCTTCTATTAGGAATATAATTACATCCTACAGAGAAATTAAAAAGACCTACTCATGTAAGTTAACAATAGTTAATAAATTTAAAAAACCCAACCAAGATGAATCTACAGGGTCAACACTTGAATAGAATAGAAAATTTTCAAAAATAAAAAAACACTTGAATAGAAAGATGCATTCCATGCCAAATGCATTACAATAAAGTTAGCAAGTATTACCAGTTTTGCAAGGCGACCAAAATTTGGGAGTATCATCGTCTGTTAAAGATTGTAGAGCAATTAAAGACAGAAAATATGGAAAAAGTTAATGCCAATAATTAAAAAGTAAAAGTTTTAAATAAACACAAGCAACTCTTATGAGGTAGAGTGTGCTTTTATGTGAGTACATGCAATTTGTGTTTGAATATGTTAAAATACAAACAAACTACATAGAGCTTCAGATATTCAGCTCTCAAAACTTACAAATTTCTCTTTCTCCTTTGACCCTGTTTCAACTTTGTTCTGCCCGCAAATCAAAACAACAGGACCTGATAAGTTGTCAAACATTTCTCGAACCCTGCAGACAAACTCCTTACGATTTGACTTGGGAACCGCCCTAGACAACCACTGTGAAGAATCTTGAAAATATACAATAAGAGGTTGCATGGAATGCAAAACCTGAAAAGAAGGCCAAAGCATTCATTAAGGAGTTCCAGCTTAAGACTCAATTAATAGGTCAAGACACAGATTTACTTGTAGACTAGAAAACATCAGAAGCTTCAAATATTCAATATATGGTATCTGGAAGCAGAAAGTGGTAGAATTCTTTAAGGTTGCTTTTGAGAACTTAACTTTGGATTTTTTATTTCAAGTTTTTAGATTTCAAATCTTTATTTGGAACTCGTGAATTTTACCTTTGCTTGGTTAAATTTAGGATTCAAAATTCAAAACTTCAAATTTAAAGAAGGGAGAGAACGTTAAACAGCTAGAATTTGACAAATCCTACTTTAAAAAGTAATATGAAATCCAAATTTGAACTTTAAAAATTCCTCGTGTGTTTACCTCAAAATCCAAATTCAGTTTTTTAAAACCACTGCCAAAAAGTGAATTTGAATTTTAAAATCCAAATCCCACTCACCAAATACAAGCTCCCAAACAGGCAATAAAGGAACACTAGGAGCCCAAAAGAATACAATAAGTGTTATGGATAATACCAAAGGCCCCTCCAGGACACAATCAGGCATTGAAGTTTATCTGAGGCAGCCCAAAAGGTTGTAGTTTTGTTGGCTACCACACATTAGTTTTAACTTACTGGAGGTAAAAATACAACCTCTAAAACCAAGAGTAATGGACTTTGGGGAAAACAGAAATAAAGAATTTGAAGCACTGATGTTATAGTAGAGTTTTTCTTTTCTTCACTTGAATCACTCATGTTATTAGATTCTACAGCAAAATGGCAGAACAACCTATCTGAAAATTTTACCTCGCATAAAGCTTCCATGGCAATGTAGCAGTCCTCTGCCTGAGTATCACGATCATGCTCAATGTCCTTAACTGTTAACAAGTTGTCAGTTTATTTAACTTTAGATGAACAACACATTGCTGACACTAACAGAATCAGATTTGAACAAACAGAAAGCACATGCAAAAAAATAAAATAGATCATTATAAACCAAACACAATTCTCCCATAATATAATATCTAACAAATGTAACCGAATATTTTGACGTCTCAAAGGCAAAAAACAAGTTCATAGAAAATAAAGCATCGTATGCAGAGGATATCAAGCCTAGACAAGAAGAAAAAATATCCCTTTCATACAACTAGCCAATAGAAAAGTTGAAAAATAGTTGTGGCATCTCAACAACTTATATAAAACATTTCCTAAGAAACTAAGGTCAATGAAAAAAAACATTCGAAATAATCAAATAGCTATTCCATCAGGATGTATGATTTTCAAGAATATCTTGCCTACTTTAAACAATTCAGTGCTTATCAACAACAAAAGAAAATATCAGCGCAAGTGGCACAATAATGTGAACATTCATGTTAAGTTTGCTATAATCCAATATTTCTTCTACCACAAACAGTAGATTAGGTTTAACAGATTCTGGTTGAGAACTTCAAAAGCTTCTTATTTTTAAACAAGCTCTTAGTAAACTGAGTTTTAGTAACAGGAAACACTGAGGCAAGAATAGCATTATGAAGACTCATGGTAAATAGCGAGGTTGAAAAGATGATTTAGATTGAAACCCAAAAATATAATCCCTAATGAAGTAAGATGCATACCATCTATCCAATAAACTGGTGGGCTTGCAGAATTCTTTGTGGATTTCTCATCCTTTTCTTCTCCTTTTGCTTTGTTATTGCTACAAATGTCCAAAATGACAGCAACTCTGTCTCCATCCACCTCATATACCTCCCCACGTTGACCGCTAGATAAGGGTCTGCATACATCACAGATTAGTTAAAAATGCTACAAGTATATTAAAATTAGGACATTAAAAATAAAAATATATGGCTATAACTTGAAGCCTAAATCCTTCCAGAGAGAAGTTCAAGCTTCATTAGAACCTCAACTATCAATAGTTTTTTCTTTAGAAAAAGAAAAGAACCCCAGGCTAGAATAAAGAACCATAAACACAGAAAATGCATTGCAGTTAGTAAAATGACAATTCAAATACATAACAGCTAAAAGCAATTCCACAGAACTCTAGGTTTAAGATAATTTGCTGCAAGGACCTCTGGACCTGAATAAGATGTAAGTCACATTCAGATACTAATACAGGATGTATCCAAATGGTTCTGGATAATTTGACATAAGGATTCACACATAATGCTGATCACATTAAGTCACATTCAGATACTTATACAGGATTGTATCCAAATGGTTCTGGATAATTTGAAATAAGGATTCACACATAATGCTGATCACATTAAGATATTAGTACCAGATATTCAATCATATTGTGTAGCCAAAGTAGCAATTTGAAACATCAAAATGGCACCTTCTTAAAGAGATATTATTTTCTAAATATACGGGTATGTCCAGTTATCCATTCCTAAATTGCATGATTAGGAAATTCCCAACCTATTAATTAGTTTTCTTCTTTGCCAATAACATGCTTAAAACTTGAAACAGAAAAATAACCCTGCCATTTATAATCCACAATTGTTAGAAATACAGAATCTATATCATCACATTCTACTCCTACCCTCCATAATTATCCACCCGTCTATTCTAGAAAATCCAAAGCATTCAAGTTGTATGTAACCAGATTAAATGTCCCTGAAAGGGCTAACATTTCTAAAACCAGCAGGCATAACTGGATCTGCAAGTAATAAAGAAAAATACCGTCCCTTAACTCACTTGATCAAGTAAAAGAAAGAAAAATTGGGAATGTATCAAAGAGGTGATTTGCATTTAAAAAACTCTCTCTCTCTCTCTCTAATATATTAATAATAATAATAAAAATAAGCAAAAGACTATTTTCTTATATGCAGCCAATAATATCTATTAAACAATTGGCATGTCATACTCTTAGAGAAAGAACACAAGGATTCCAACAAAAGAATGTCCACATTATCAAAATTTCCATGGAGATACTGTTTGCATCATCTTTTCCATTATAGTTGTTTCTCTAAAAGGGAAAAAAATCTGCAGCCACATTCTACTCCAAAACTTTTTGGAGTTCCCTTTTTCTAAACCCATGATCCATTTCCAAGCACAATGCAACAGTCAATGAATTCATTATACCTGTAACTGTTAAGACAGCCAAAACTAAGAAGCCAAGTCAACCTATCCAGTGCCGACACTAATATTACAATGACTTAGATTGGTGGCTCTTCAGCTCTGCTTGGTAGGGAGGATAGGAAAATGGGAAGATAGAATATTGGTATCGGAGAAAGGTGAAAAGATAGAAAGCATGTTACTTTTACACACAGGTGAGCAGGGTAGGAAAGATAGAAAAATGGAGAATATGATTTTCCTTTTAATCTATTGCTTGGTAGAGTTGAAAAGTGGAACGAAAGAAAATGAAAATCACATTATTTTAACATTATAACCTATGCAAGTGGAGATAAAAAGCTAAAATCTAAAAAAGAGATGGATAGTCTTGTAAATTTACAAAACCTGACTGACACCTCTTTCATTTTCTCTCATCCAATCTTTCCAAATTGGAATGATTTGTTTTTGTGCACAAGGAAAGGCCATTTCTCCTATTTCCTTTCGCTCATTTTTCTTCCTACCAAGCACCAGTGAAAATTATTTTCTTTCCAATTTTCTACCCACTTCCTGCCATCCTCCCACTTCTCCATCCTACCAGGCAAAACAGTAACGACACAAGAATCTGAAGTTGATAATTTGAACCCATCCTAAGTAAGAAGGAATTCAGGAGAAAAAGGGAAGGAAAATGACCAGCACGATGGGAAGCATATTGAACATTTGAAACCAGCATAGTTGACAACCATAGTTACTACTCGCGATAATTAAAAAAAAAAAGTACCACTACTGAAAGGACAAAATCAATTCGTGAGTTCAAAATAACTGAACAGAAAGTAAAGTCAAAGGAAAGTATCACTGAAATCTTTCTAAGCTTCTAATCTTATAAAGACTCACATCTTTCTTGGTTAGCAAATTTTATCTACCCACCAAGAAAATTACTATGCATCATTCGCTCACGGGAGTAAATTTTGGAAGAAAACTAAGGAACCCATAGGATCCTTAATGAAAAGGAACCATCATTACAAAATGCATTTTCAAGAACACCCAAAGAACAATAGGTTTGATAGTTCTTCTTCTATACATCAGGATGACTTACCAACCCACCTGCGTCGAATACTTGTATAAACATTAGTTGGACCATCAGATGTTGGTATCTTCCCCAATATGATCCTGTGATGTATATATATGTCAATATCATTTGAGGGTGAAGTCAAAGTTCATGGAGAGGAAGAATTTAAGGGTGGGGGTTTCTAGGAGGCAGACAACAGCTATGACCCTCCTAGCAGCATTGTTGTTACAGATCATTATATTCAACTATCTAGTAGCCCAAACCATTTGATTTCAACAAACAGAAACAGCCAACAGGTACGCCCTGATACTCCAAAGTGAAGAGCCCACGGTCTCAAAAAGCTAGGGCGTTTAAAAAGAATAGTCAATAAGGCATCTCACCAGCAGATGGATGATAACTGGTCACTAATCCCTCCATCATTTGGAACCCATAATAAATGTTTGTACCAAAAGGAAAGCACAATAGAAACGATAAAAATAAACACCAAATTGACAAGAGATCCATCCCCAACGTAATGAGCTTCAAAAAAGCATAACTATGGTCACTGCATTTCTTCTTCTTTAACATTTCTATTTGAAGTTATAAAATGTCGTAAAGTAAAATCACAGACAGGCATTATACATTCATCATTTTCATTTCTTTAACAAATCAAACATTGTTAAAGTGATACAACTTAGAGCAGAGCAGAATCTTGAGTGAAATCACCATATAGAAGAACAGGTTAAATATACCACAAACCAAAACAATATACAGATATACCAATACATTACTTACTTTCTGTCAGCTTCAATCTGCACATCAGGTCCAATATACTTCACCCGGTCCCCTGAAAGAGAATCAAAAATCAGTTGGAAGAAAAGGTAAAAAGTAAAAGTCATCACAACCACTGCACTGACAAATCAAATTTTATTTCCATAGCAACACTAAAAGACAGCTGATGATACTTTCAAATCACTGTCCATCACCACATTCTTTTTTTTTTTTGAGGGGGGTGGTAATAATACAACATTCATCTTTGCTTTATATTATCTCTCTCTTCTGATAAGTAATTTCCTTGGCAGATAAACCCACGTCTCAAGCAAATTCAACTCATGCACCCCCCCCCCCCCCCCCCCCCCCCCCCCAATATACCTGTGAACATGCCAATAGAGTCTAACAACCACAACATATTTTTCCAATTTTAACTTTCACAAACACCTTGTGTAGATAGAAGTGTGATGGAGAATAAGAAACAATTACCAAGAGCATTGCTTAATACATGCCAAAGGAAAAAAGACAGTTTTTCAGTACAAAGCGTATCCTACGTATCAAACCAATGAGTGAAGAAACCGCCAGAAAACATACCATTTCAAAAGATTGAGTAATTAACAAAAGAATATCTGAATGTGTTAACCTAGCAGCATTTACCATATCAGTGGCATGAAATTTTATTTTTTTTCTTGACTTTCCTGAGTGAAGGACTTACTGAAAACCAGACCATGGCATTCTACAAGTATTTTCTATTTTTAGCAACAAGTTTCCACAGTCAAAGACATACAACATCCACATAAAAATAAATTCAGAGGAAAACATAAAGGAAGAAGATGTAGAGAAAAAGCTCATCTGACAGATAATCGTACATGTTCTTGTTTAAATTAAATACAACAATAAGGAGGGGAAACAATACTAGCTATTAAGGAATAGACATTTTAAAATGCATTGAACTTCCAAATGAATGTATATTTAACCAACACGCTTGCATACATAGCCACCAGAAATTAGTTACCTTTCTTAAGCAGCCACTTGGATTTATCAGCAGATTCATCAGCCTCAGACTTTGAAGATTCAGAGGAACTCTCAGATTCTCCAGATACCCTCTGCCACAGATGTAATAACAAAATCAGCAAGAGTTCAACCCCATCGTACAACAAGTTTTAGAGAGCCTTTGAATACAAATGTACAAGAAATCAGGAATTCCATGTAAGACATAATAATAACACAAAGAACTGAGATTTAAACTAACCTATCGAGGAGTTAACAGTACATAATCTATTGCTGATAAGATAATCCTATGTCGCATACAACTTGTTCAAACTTAAAGAGCAAGAATCCTTTTCAACCCATTGCAGAACAGACTCAAACATTCCTTCTTACTCCCACACCACTTTCTGAGAATTTTCTGTCATGGGGACATTGCTCGCAGTTTTCACTAACTACTATACTCCCATCTTTTAGTCACAGAATATCTCAGAAAGTACATAATATGTGGCTTTATTCAGCTCTGCAGCCTCACCAACTACTTACTCCCATTTAACACGTCAAGAGAGATGAAATAAATGGACACAGAAAACTAAAAATAATGGTGAGAAAATTTCATTTACCCTCTTAAGGTATCATGAAACCACAAAAAATGCCCTCATATTATATTAACAGCATGAACCCCACCCAACTTTTAACTTTTAAGCCCATTACTCACTCTAAACACTTTCAGTTAAGATAATGATGCCCTTTCCTACTAAGCATTTTTCTAAAGAAACTTTTCCTAGAAGAGTATGACAAAATATGTAAGTTACATTCTCAGCTCAAAGAACAACACCTCCATGAACAAATACCTTCTCAAACTCTTCAAGGTTGTAGGGTACAAGCTTCTTAAGGGCTGCTTCAGCAGTTGCCTGCACTTCATCCACATCACTACAGTCTGTTCTTGTCTCATTGGTGCTTGTCCAGTCTTCCTCATTACTTGCATCATTCTCATCCTCAATCTCGGACTCTGAAGTACACTCTACTGCAGATTCCAGGTTATCATCATCTGATTCAGACTCAGACGAGCAATCATCACCAAAATCCTAGAAGAAAAAAGAACATTTAAAAGACCCATTTTGGGAGCATAATTAAAAGGCAAACAAAAGGTTGAATTTCCAAGTCATTCAACTCTTACAAATGGAGCAAGAACACTGCTATCAAGCACCAAAAATGGCACTTGTAACTCTCGTGCTAGCGCCCTAACTAATCTCTCGCGATAAAGTTCAGTGCCTACAGATGGCAAGACTAAATTTATTAAAACGCACAACATAATTTTTAAGTAATAAAGGGAAAGCATGGACACAAGACTACAAGGAAAATATATTGAAGCAAAAATATATTATATCAGGTGCATACCTGGAACACTCTGAAGCAATATTCTCCCACTTGAAGATGCCAATCGAGCACCATAAGAAGTAGTTAAATTTTTATGTTTCAAATGGGAAGCAACACATTCAACCAAAATATTTTTGGTATTCTCACTGCAGAGAAGACAAAAAAGAATTGTAGTAAATTAATAACTGCATAACAAGATAATCTAAAGGCAAAAAAGGAAAGTCAAGAAATACTGTGAATAATATTTACTGAATGTAATAAGGAAATGTTTCCCAAGAAACATGTATTTTCTCCCAAGGCACAATCCTGCGCAAGAACTCATTTTTAAACTTCTCACGTCTGGTCAAAAATGGTGATTCCTTCTTCTTACTCTCTATAGAAAGCTTTTCATTATTGAGCCATTCCCTTTGATCCTGTTCCCCAAGCTGAGCATGTGCATCAGAAGGCTTCACATTCTCCCCAACCTTTTCCTGCCAAGTCTTTCCTTTATCAAAGTTAACCCCATCATTCACGGGTCTATAATTATCCTCACTAGCATTCCTTCCATCACCTTTGGAACTATACACACGTAACTGATGGTTACTAAAACATGGAGCAGACCTTCCATAAAATCCCGTATATGTAAACGCAGAAGCAGTACATTGAGCATAAGATGAATTCGAAAGATTTTTTCTAATCAAACTACCATCCCGATAACCAGTCCCAACTGCATAAGGGCTGTTCAAAGATCGATAACACGCATGATCCTGGAAATGTGGCCTAATTACATGTTTCCACTGTTGAAACACTAAACCCCATCTCTGGCTTCTACCCCAGATTCTCTTAGCATACATTGTAACCAGCTGTTATTCTTGAAACCTGTGTTGCAAAGTGTGCTTCCATCAGTTCATATGGTTTGCAAGTAATATATTAACTACAAAAGATATATAGGGAAAGAGCGGTCATCTCAAAAGAAACACTATCAAAACAACATTTTCTATCAAATTTCGAAGCCATTCATTGCTTTTTTTTTTCTCAATGCAAGCCACTTCGTTTCCGTAAGAAATGGGGAAAGAGAAAAGAAAATGTTTTCCGAAAAACATGCCCAAGAATTAACCGAAATCAAGAACCTCTTAAGTTGTGGGAAAATGGGCGTTTCGTGGAAAACTGAAACCGTCGGAGAAGTCGTTTCCTTAGAAAATCCAGTTTCGCAATCCAATGCTTGGAAAATGAACAAGTTAGCTTTTCAAACCTTAAGGTGAGGTTAAAGATTTTTCATTTCCTCTTCTCTTTCGATACTTTGCCCGTAACCAAACGCACAAAGATGACCACAACTCCCAAAACAATAGTATAATTCTATCCAATGAAAAGCTAAATTAAATTAAAAAAAAAAAGAAGAAAATGGCCAAAGACACGCAAATAAATAAGTAACAAACCTCTTGCTAATGTTACCAAAGTTAAAGCGTTGTTTGTTGTTGAATGGACATGTTCGGCAGCAACAGGCTTTCTCAGAAACAGAGAGAAGAAAGAAGGATTGGTAAAACGAGATATGCGAAGGAAAGTGCAAGAAGAGCGTTTAGAACAAACGAGAGAAGCGGAGATAAGATCTGGTGAAGCGAGTGCAAGACAGAAGCAACTCAAGTCATATGATGTCGTGTTTCTGTGTGTAGGTTTGATTAAGTGATTGTTTTTAAGTTGGTTTTAATCACAGGGCTAGGGTTTCTGGGCCAACAACGCAAACCGCCTTCTCTCTTCTCGTGGTCATCGCCTTGGGTTGACTTTTAAGGCCCAAGATTTGTAACTAAATCGGGCCCTCCTCTCGCTACGACCCGTTAATTGATTTCCTTTCATACATTTTTTTAAAAAATAAATATATTTATTTGAAACCAGGCCTAGCAACTAATCCTAAATATATCTCAAAGTATTTTTTGAATATTATTCAAGAAGAAATATATTCATAAAGACAAAACTGGAAATAACGTCTAAATTGTGTAACGCTTTAGAAGGTCTCATCATTGGTATAAATCGTTGGGCATGAGCTTGATGCCACTATGGTAGTTTAGTTCTTAATAAATTTAGTTATGACAACACATCCAAAGTAACACTTTGGTTTGTCATTCTTGTAAGCTAATTCAAGAAGATTGGATTATACAGATTCCTCATATCTTATGAAAGATCAACTATTGTGCTGTTTATTTGGTCAATACAGTGCATGCTGTGTCTCTATGAAACATATTTTAGAGGATCCTCCTCTACTACATATTCTTCCTTTATGAAAATGTAAGTAGGGAAGGAGTTGTTAGCAGTTTTTTTTTTATTTTTTATGTTCTTATGTCATGTATCAATTAGTTATACTACTTATTTATTTAAAGATACATTGAGTAATTAATAGATGAGTTTTTATTAGTCAAATATGAATTTTATCTTTAAAGTATCTTAATTTATTTAAACATAAGTTGCACTACTTATAACTGAAATGAACAAATCGTGTATATTTATCTTAAGCTAATCAACAAAATTAATTATTTTAGAATTAATTACACATCTAACTTAAAATGATATCACCAAGTCCACACAATATTGCATGATTTGTCTTCAAAATTTTTTTAATTTATTAATTTTCACAGACATAAGACAATTTGTAATTAGACAACAAAAACTTTCTCCTTCTGCAAATATATCTCCCAAAATCTAGGCAGCATCATTCACAAGCGTTATGGCTGTCATCCTGTTCCTAACCTGCTCAAGCAACCGATTACGTCATGTTAGCATATTATTAGATTGTTGTAGACGGATATCTGGCTGCGTTAGCTGTATTTACTTGTTATGATCATCTTTCAATTTCATTAGCCAGTTTCCATCCTCGATGACCCTGGTACAACGGCCAACTAGCATCTCTGCTGCCATGATGGATAGCACAATCATGCCATAATTCAAATCAACTACCTTTTTTATTTAAGAGACCAATAAGGTCGTTTGTTCGATCAATCAGCAGAAAGCAAATGACTAACTAAAAGCAGAACAACACATTGAATGCCAATCCCAGCAATTCAAAGCAACAAAAACAAGTTCACCCACTCGCCCAACAAAGAAGATGAGAGGATTATGATATAGATTGTTAATCTTATGTAGCTGTTTCCTTCTCAACTTCCAAAGCACCTGTTTCCACCTCTAAGGCTTCCAGAGAATGGTGGTTTCAGCGATCATTGATGTCACAACGTAGGGATCCATGTTGGATGCGGGCCTTCTGTCTTCGAAGTAACCTGTAAATTACATACATGACCGGGAATATTAAATACGAGGAATTCAAGAAATGAGAAATCACGACAACGCAAACGAATGCTTACCTTTTCCTGCCTTCTCAGTGTCACGGCCAACACGGATGGAGGCTCCCCTGTTTGCAACGCCCTGGAATTTGGACATCGCAAGCAAAATATTCATTTAGTAATAAGAAAATGGAGATATATTCGTATGGCAGTGATGAAACGTATGGGAGAATCAAAGCCTTTTGAGCTTGTTACTAACTTACCCAAGAGAACGAATTGATATCTGCAGTCTCATGACGACCTGTTAGGCGTCTCTCGTTACCCTCTCCATAGGCAGCAATGTGCTCCTTGTGGCGCAAACCGAGCTTCTCAATGGCCTTCTTGATCACATGGATGCCGCCATCATTTCTCATGGACTTTGTGCTGAGAGAAAATTTTATTTCAACTAATTCACTCTTTGTGTGTCAAAGGAGAATATATGCGTAACTAATTTAGAGCACATTTCTTTTACTAGTATCTACCTGTAGTTGGTGTGAGCCCCTGCACCGTTCCAGTCACCCTGATTATGGAAAAGCATTGCAAAGAGGGAAAATGGTAAAGAAATAGACCAGGAACAATAGCTAAACGAAAACAAAGGGAAAAGTGGGGTCAAATTTAGGGGAAAAGGTATCAGATTGCAGCATTAAAACAAACCGGTATTGGTTTGGGGTCGAAAGAAAGAGCCACTCCAGCAATTTCAGTGATTCGCTGTTTAAACAAGCAAATTAAAGATGTTATAAAAATTCCTTAAAAGGCAAATTCACTAACTAATATACACTAGAATCAGGAGCATACCTCGAGAATGTATCGGGCAATCCACAATTGATCTCCCGCATGAATCCCAACACATGGTCCTACTTGAAATTCCCACTGTTTACACAAAGCATGAGACCAATAAATATTTCATTCATTAATACTTGACTCCTTGAAGAGCCACATATTTATCTTTTCTTGTTTTCACTAACATTCTTTTTTGGCTATTCATGGAGTAAGAGATTAGATTATTAGAGAGAAAAATGGCACGTGTTCCTCCATTGTTTTCACTACAATTCTTTCTTTTTTTTTTTTGGTTGCTTATAGAGGAAAATTGTTTGGAAAGTGAAACAGCTTACAGAGGAAGGGATTCAATTGCCTCAAGAGTGAAATAGCTTTAAGAGAAATGGGTTAGATTGCTAGGAATACTACTCCCATTTGTTGTTTTCTTAAAAGTTCTTCACTTCTTTTGGTGGTCATGGAGAAAGAGAATGAATTGCTTGAAGAGAGAAACTGCTTATAGAGAAATGGATATTGGGTTAATTGGAGAGGGAAATGAGTTATAGAGAAAAAGATTTTGGTTTCCCTTTATAAGTCTTCTATATAGCTTCCTCCTTTATGCTCAGTTAGCTGTCAATTTGTTTAGTAAAGAATTGTAGTTTGGTACTCACAGTGCAATATCTGAAAAAAAATTTTCTCCAACTGTTAATGCTATTGTTTTCCTTTTTGTTTAACTAGGTTATCAACTAGTGGCAAATGAAGCTGGATCAGAACAAAGAACAGAACGCACCTGACCAGGCATCACCTCCCCGTTGATTCCACTGATGTTAATGCCAGCATAAAGGCAAGCCTTGTAATGGGAGTTCACAATGTCTCTGCCAAAGGACTTGTCAGCTCCTACCCCACAGTAATAAGGGCCCTGCATTGATGACAAAACTTGGTTTTTTCAGATGATGATCTGCTCCGACGGCTCTAAACCAAAGGCTTGGACAGTTCGGTTAACGTGATATCAATCAAAGAGTGCAGTGTGATATCTTGTACCTGTGGTCCTGGAAATCCTCCAACAGGCCATCCAAGAGGCCACTTAACGTCCTTCTGAAGGAGAGTGTACTCTTGCTCAATCCCATACCTGATTCCAATAGGAAAGACAAGGAAATAGAGTGGGAATTAAACTAAAGCGCCATTACATAATTTTTTGATGGTAATAGATATTATATTTATTCTACCTTATACCAAAATATAAAATAAGGAATGCAAACTAGTTGAAAACCACTCTGGCCTGTAAATATGAGTTCTCAAGACATTACTGACATGAAATGACAAAAAAAGAGAGTAATCCACCTACCATAGTCTCATTAACAATATAACATTTCCTTTTTCACTTTTTCTTTTTTTTTTTGTACAAAATGATTTATAATTTATGGATGAACTTGATATATTTAATTCATTTTTTGTCAGCTTAATAAATAAATACAACTATATACCAAAATAAATAAATAAAACAACTGAGAATGATAGAATATTATTTGCTTTTACTTGTTCTTTTTATTTATATTCAACATCTCAAACAGTAGGAAATAGGTTAGCTAACTTTCGCCCATTGACTTGTCTATTGACTAACCCAACCCAAATGTTAGGCACAAGATAGAGATACAACATTAGTTGAACACCTAATTATATACTAGTTATAAGAGTATAATAATAAACACTAAGGCAAAAGGTTTCTACTATAATTTATAAGCACGAAAACCTACCCGGCCCCCAATATAATAATTACATATAAAATGTATCGTTTTGACTTACAAGCTTCATAGATTTAAATTATTTTGCATTTTAATAATGATCTAAAACAAAAAAGAAAGAAAGAGAGAGAGAGATAGCTGCTTTTTAAGCTATTTCCATACACTAACTCATCGAAACCTATTCAATATAAAAAAACAAATCAGAAAGAAAAAAAATAAATAGAAAGAAAGAACTGTATCTATGTCCTTTCTTTGTAGAAAATTAGGTGATTCTTTGTTCATAAAATATAAAAGAGCAATCTAAAAGGATCCTATCTACTCCACCATTTGGGAATATGATATGACAAGATACCATGATGACATTCACAAAGGGCCAAAATGTACAATTTAATTAATTATTGGCCCTACGGAGGAGTTAGCTTTGTACTTATCCAAAGAGCAGGGCACATGCCGACACCATAATTATGTATTTGCCTACGAAGAATATAGAAATAATATGTTTACGAGAGAATGATGGATAATGATTTAAATTACTCAAAGAATATGGTCACAAAAGTTCTTGAAATTTTTTAAAATATTATACTAAATCCTCGTCCATTCCATAATTAATAAAACTTAATTTGACGTTTTTTAATAAAATTGTTTATGTTTGATCACTATTTATTTGTAAATCTATCTTTGAAAAAAAAATTACGTTTTAAAAAGCTTTGTATGAGATAGTTTATATATATATATATTCATTAAAATTTAATTTAACTACCAATTTAAAATAATTAATGCTAAAATTTAAACAAAATTGACAAGACAACATATTGGAACCAAAACAATATATTATTTGCATATGAACACAAGACGTTGACTAGTCAAAATTACAGCCGGTCAAAGGTCAAGCAACTTAAAGGAGCCAGATACTGAAATGCTCATTTTTCTAATGGTGACTTTTTGATTTGGTGAAGTTTGGACCAACCCCACCAACCCCTCGCATGTAACAACAACATACAGTCCAATACCCCAAAACACGAGACCACCTAACCCCGCCTGACCGACCGGCGGTTGATACTCGAATGGTGTTAATTAGTAACTAGCAGTATTTTTGTGGTCCATGATTTTTCCTTTTCATCTATAGTTAGGAATGCCATTTTTCTGCTATTTTTAACGAGTGCTCCGTTAAAAAAATAAATAAGAAAGGGTAAATAAAATTACCATGGCTCCTCAGCAGCAACATCCGAGTGGCTAAAGATCTTGGCAGCATTGAATCGCTTATTGGTGGGAATGGGGTCGCCGGCTGGCGTGTAAGTATCGCACATCACCTATTATGATTATTATTCATTTGCAAAGACACAATTAACCCCCCGTTGACTTTCTTTTCCGCCTACAAATAATATTAGCATAAAAAGGGCAAAAATATCTCTTGGTAATCACGGTATTTCATTTTCCTATACTACT